ACCACAAAGGTTCAGAAATTCAGTGGTCTCAGATGAGAAAGAAAGCTTGTTTACTTATGTTTTCAGGACTGTTCTGTAAAGCACCTTCAGAAGATTAGTCATCATTTGGAAAAAATTCTTTTATTTAAAGCCCATTAAAAACTGACAGACAAAAGCCCCACCCCACTCTTGATTCCAGAGTGAAATACGCTGTCATTTAGGTAGCAGAATATGGAAGAGAATATGTCGGTGAGAAGCAGAAGGAAGAACAATGTGAGATGCAAGAAGCCCCACCAAAATCTAGACTTCATCCCTCCTATTTTTCACCTGAGAATTTCTTGAGCATCTTTACCACAAAAATCCCTTCCTTCTGGAAAATTTAACAGGCACTTTAATTCACTGGGATCAAGTGAGTGGGGCCAGAGGTTGCAAGCTAGTCTGAGGTATGCTCTGCACGTGCAGCTGCAAAATATACCACCAGCTGTGTAAATCGATGAAGAGCCCTCCAGCTTATGAATTTATGTTTAAAAGCCATATAAAACAATGCACAGTACAGAAACAGATAAAGATTGAAGCAGAAGGACCAGTCTCTCACTGATCTTTGCTAAATACTGATTTGTTGAAAAAAATACCTCCATTAGCATTTTGAAGCAAACCTCAGTCATGAAAAAGACTAAGTACTTTATCTGTCATGCAATCCAGTACCCAATTACAAACCAAATTTAAGCTGCTTCATTCCTCATAACAACTAGGGTTTTAATTTTCAAATTAAAATTTTCAATTTTAATTTGATTTCAACGCCATGATATTTCAATACATAATTACTCCTTATAAATTACAACAAATTTCTGCAACACAGCAGAGATGAAAGTACACATATTTATAATTTGTGCTTTCATAAATCTTTTATATTATTAACCACTCAAACAGATAATCAGTTCTGACATTTAAAAAATTCTGTTACAGTTCGAATCCAAAACCACTATCTACTAGGAAACAGTCTGCTACTTTAAATGCTTTGAAAACATAGTAAGCATGCATTCATATTCTTTTGCAATAGAAAATAAGAGAGTTTGGGAGATAATATTTTCATCCTCTTATTCCAAAACTAAGGATGACAAAACAGAGGAAAGAAATGTAGCAAAAGGCGCTGGAATAGTGGCATCCTCTACGTTTGCTTTTACTCAACCATCAAACATCACTTTTCTTGACAAAATACTGGTGTGCATTCTGACCATGATCACAGACAATTAACATAGGGGTCAAGCTTGACCAGTGCTAAGAGAAGGTGGTGTTAAAAGGAGTGTAGCAGATGGACCGGTGCTACTCTGTGCCCATTTAATTGACTGAACACAGAATTATTTTAGAGCAAATATGAGAAACTGGAACAAGCAAAGTCCTGGTAAGTGAAGACTGACAGGTGGGAACCTACTAGAGGAACTTGTATAGGTAGTTATGAGAGAATTTTGAATTTTCCCAAGGATATTCTGGGTCTGTAATTAAGTTACAAAATCAGGAAAATTGCCAGACAACAGTCAAAAGGCAATGAAATTCCTCAATCCGAAGGAAAAACACAAGATGTAGACACAGTTGAAGTGTCAAAATCATCAAATCAATGCTGAGCTGTAACACATGAAAGAGCTGTGAATGAGTATAGTAAGAAATCTAAAAATAACTTGTGTTGCCACACATGGAGGATCTGAGTTCTTCCTTTTTTCCACAGAAGAGTAACAAAATACTTTGAAATCTGGTCATGCCCATCACTACTGAGTCAAGGGCATCACACATCAATCTGCATCATAAAAAATAGGATAAGAGCTCCCATAAAGAAAACATTAGCTAAGTTCTCAGGAAAGAGGAAAAAAAAAAGAAAAAAAAAAAAAGGAAAAAAGTAGTGTGGCTATCTACTTCTCACTTATGCTAAGCGAACCAGTTCATCTTAATTTGTGCATACTATTACATCTCCCAAGAGATACAGTTTTGCTCTATTGTTCTGCAATTTAACTGAAAACTGTTAGACCTCATAAAGAGAAGTTTGTGGAGGTTGTCAGAGAAGAAGACCAGAATGCATCACCTACAGGAAGTGTGTGCTACTACATTTCAAGTACTTTCCTGCACCTTGGGAAAAATGCAGAACAAATACAAGGGGAAACTGTCTTCATGGACAACTGATGTATGCACGACCTTTTGGATTTCATTACAGCATTTTAACCCAACTAGATTTTTAAGTCTAGACAGCTCTTTCTATTATTCTCTCTATTTTCACCTTCCAATCTTCCTTTACATTCTACTTTAACTTGCAATCTTCTTCAGAGCATTTTCTCTCTATAAAGGTAAACTACATCTCACTCAAACCACACTACTTTAATGAAAAAACACAGCACATAGAATAATCTTAGAGTACATGGAAATCAAAATAATACAAATATAGGAGGAAAAAGAAAACATACACTTTTGTTAAGAGTACTTGCCCCTTTTGTAATTGCAGTGTTATGGGTGTATCGCATTACTTGTAGCAGTAGCGTACAGCAGGACAATGATCATCAAAGGATCAAGACTGTAAATCGTTGAATTTATACCACTGAGTTTCTACAAGATAGCTTGGCAACCTCCTCCGAATTATGAGTATCTTTAAAATATGACATACATTTGTATTGCCTAAGGTCTATTCCCATGCAATAGAAGCGACATCAGCAGTAATGAACAGAGTGACCTCTAATCAACCAAATTTGTTCTGCTCTCTGGAAACTACATAAATCAGTTACCAAGGAGTTGCCAAAGTCTTACTAAGTGCTCGAAAGCTCTTCCTAGATGGAAGTAACAGAATAAAATTTAGGATGATTTTGGACACCACTGTCCAAACCCCAAATACTATGTAACCACAGTCACTCCAAAATAGGTGGGTTTATTACTGACTTCTCTAAAAGGTCCTCCCAGACTCTAATGTTATTTTACACAAAATGTAAATTATCTCCCCATCTTTCCAAATATCATCAAATATTATGGATAAAACAAGACCTTTTCAAATCAACCTATATTACTCACTTCACTCACATGAGAAATCTTGCATGAAATTTTCCATTCCCAATGGAGATGCAGTGTAACTATAAGGAAGTTATTTGTAAATGCCAGCTTCCACCCAACATAGACGAATTCCCTGACTAATATTAAGTCTGACAACCTTTATTTTTAAATTCTCAAACAGCAACTGTTTACCAGTAATAACAGCTTAAGCAGCTACTGCCCCACCCCTCTTACTGTGCTGTGCTAGAGCTTTATTTTTGGCTGGGTCTGTTTTCCAAACCCGTTTACAGCATGTCCACACAGACACACGTCAGTACAATGGAAGGATGTGAGGGGAGAAATCCCGTCACACCATGGCAAGTGCTGGACTTGAATCACAGTGTGCTGTGATTCAAGGAAGCTTCTCTCCCCCTCGACTGTGTGCAGAGGGAGCCCAGAGAGATTTGTTTCCCTGAGTTCACTGTAGGCACTGAAGTGCATTTGCATCACAACTATGAAAACGGTAGACCACCATAAGACCTCAACCATGGCAATAACCAGGCCAACAAATATCCACTGAATCTTTTTCTGCTCTCTGTGGAAACATCTTAATTAGCTGGTTCTTTGCAGTGAAGCTGAAAATATATCATTAATCTTTAAATAAAATATGCATGTTGCACCATTTCTCCCTTTCACAAAGGAAAGGGTTTGATTTTTAATGTGTGAGGGTTAATACAGTAACTTGAACATTCAGTTATTGCTAGGTGCTCTCAGCAACGTAAATGGTCAGAATACACAGGTGAAGATTTTCACATCTCTGCATCTCTGAATGGCTTTAAATGAATACAAAAGTATATTCAAAATACACAGACACAAAAAAATTTCAAGAACAAGTGAAGATGCAGCAGCCTTTTTAGAATAAGGGAATAGTAAGAGCTTGAAATGAAAGACCATATACATATGGTAGAATATGTATGTAGGGAAATTTAAATGTATTAGTTAACTCTTCTAGAGTCAAACAATTTCAATGAGGCAACATAACTTTCAGAATAAAGGACAAATAATGCAGAAGTACCATACAGTACTTCAAACACGGTTTTTATTATTAAAATAATGCACATGTAATATATGCAGTTTTGTCTGTTACTAAGAAACTAACAAATGTACTCAGACACTTTAGAAAAAAATAAGAAAAAATTTAATGTAAATTGAGTTGAAATTGGAAGAATTCAAAATAATGATTTTACTATCTTTTGCTTTCTCACTAAAAGATTATTGAAAATTGAATCTCAAACAATGCTTTGTAATTTCTAAAATATGCTGTTCTGGAAAACTATCAAGGTTTCCAGTTACATTCCTACTGTTTAAATTCAATGTAATTAATTGTACTTCGACTTTTTATATACATATACAAAAGTACATTTTTGTGCATTTGGATTCTGAATTGCTTGATGCTGCAAAGTATTTTGACAAAACAAATTTTCCGATATATGGAAAATACAGCTGCCTTCACATCAAGAAGCTATGCTATACCAATGAAAACACATTGCACTGGTAGGCTTCACAGATCAAAGCCACTGAATAAAATGATTTGAAACACAGCTCCTTGCAGAGATTATTAAAATTGTGGGGTTTTCTTATCTGAAAAGATTGGGAGGAGAAGACTTTGCAGAGTTCTCCCCCCTTTGCAACTGGACAGGAAAAAACTGCCTCTCTGATTTGCCTAGGAAAAAAATTGTGTTGAGGCTTTCTGTGAAATCAGAACAGGAATATTTTCCTTTGAGTGTGTGTTTTCATTAATTACATAGTAACCTGCATTCTTTGGGTGGTGAAGTAAAAGAGAAAAAGCATTAGAAGTAGTATTTCCTATAGAAACAATTGCCTGTCAAACAAAGCATAAAAAGACAAAAGGCAGAAACACTGTTTCAGCTTGAATGCCTTAATGTCATCATTTGTCATGCAGCACTTCCTCAGAAAACCCCAAAGTACAGTTAACTCTACTCCTCTTTACACCACACTCTTTCTCTGTTGGTACAGGATTAAAATGTGCCCGGCCTGACAATGAAACAGCAGAGCCATCGCACATTGTTATGCAACTCACTGTCTGCAAGGGTGGCTTGTAGCTCCTTCTTTATTCAGCAAGTGCCAAGTGCATGTTTAATCAATGTCACAGCTCACCACAGTGTGCAACTAAAGCCACCGTCATTCCTCTCTTCAGATTTGCCTGGCTGAGTTATGCAATGCTCCGAAGAATACCTTGGAATTCTTTCCAGAGGCTCTGAATGCAGGTGTGTGACAGCATTCACACTACTGCCAGCAAGGCAGACTTCTTTTCATCCTTTTTCGGGCTGGACTAAAATTACATAGTGTGACTGCACGTAGTTCGCTGCATTTGGAATTACAGCATGTCAACGTGAGAAAGCCTCCTCAGACGGCTGCCACAAAGAGTAAATCAAAGGCTGGGTTTTTCTGAAGTCTTAATAAATAACTAAGTATAACTGAATAAAACCGGGAGCTGTTTGTATTTTTTTAAGACAGAACAGCATGCATTTTGTTGCTCTGCATCATCTAAGGAAAAAAAGCCACAGTTTTAAGGGGAATTAGTCAACAGTGAGGATCATTACGAGAAAAAGCTTTACTGTTTTTGACTACACTTGCTTTAGTGGATTACTGAAGGAGAACATCAGTCATTTGGAAGATTCTGTAACATTATTATCCTCACTGATAAACTTCTTCATCAAGAAACTGCTCGTGCTCCTATCTGATCTGTCTGAGTGAGGAGAGCAGCCCCTTCATGAAGATAAAAGCCTGGCTTGCCACTGAATCGACGAGTAAGAAGCATGTCTGATGACATTTTATTCCTGATGCAATGTAGGGTAAGAAATATCTTTTGCATTTTACCTTTCTGTAAGATATGCTCTGAGCTGATGGCATTAATTAGACTCACAGTAGAAATACCTTAATCTCTAATGATTAAAGATGTTTGCCAGAAGAGAAAATGCTGTTCCACTATAAAATGTGATTGTATATCTTCAGTAAATTGGAGTTATCTGAACTAGTAGAAATCCCAATCAAATTTTTGATCGATAAAGCTAAAACAGCACGGCAGATTACACAGAAGATCAACATCTCAGTCACCAATGAACATAATTTTACAGAGAATATATTTCTAGAGGATATTTGACTGTAAATTAAGTGTATTAGAGCAGCTAAGTAATAGAAACGACCTGTCAACCTCACTTTTGCAACAACAAAAAAAGGATCATAAATCACATGCATCTGGAAATGTCCACCCTGAATTCCTTTATTGCATAGAATTTTGCTCATGTAACAGCACTACTGTTCTTTGGCATACTGCAAAAATAAGTACATATATCAACACCCTTTATATTTGAAGAGATAGACATTATCTGTTAAATGTTTACTGTTGCATGGATGTCCAAAAGCTGATCTATTAAACATGAAAAAGGATAAGATCTCATCTGCAATTGCCTACTTAGGCTCACTCGTGAAAAACAACTGTGATACTGTATCAAGGAAACATATTTTCCATGTTTGAAAACAGCAGGCATGAACATTTTCAACTGTTTTTGTACTATGGAGTTAAATATTTAAGAATAGCTGAAAATGCACATAACCTCCCCAGGCATTTCAGAGTATTCCACAATGCTCACATACCTGCTTTCATCAATTTCATATTTTGTAAGGAAACAAATTATCTGGCTAGAGATAAATTTTAAATTTCTTTTATAATAAAGCATATTAACTGGTTTGAAGCACCAAGCTGTTTTTCTTTCCTATCAAATCTGTATCTACAGAACAACTATTTTTAACATGGACATGTTCATACAAAAAGAAAACAAAACATGAATGCAACTGAATAAACACAGCATTAAGAAATGTTGTGTAAGAACTACAGAATTGTTTTTAAAAAGCTTGCATGTTTGTCAGACCAGATTTACCATTTGCTTTCTTCTTTCTAGCTAGCTGCCAGAATACTGGTGAAGGTATTTGCAGGAAAAATGGGGACCTCTGCCATCACAACACTGGAAGATGTAAAAAGGCGAGAGGAAAAAGAGGAAAAAGAAGAATCTATTCTAGCACTGCTTGGAATTATTGGAACTGTGCTCAATTTATTTGTTATTGTTTTTGTGTATATCTACACTACACTTTGATGACATTTTTGAATATCAATTGCACATCACACAGTGCAAAGACCTGCGATGGCAAGAAAGATTTCTAAATTTAAAGCAAAAAACCTCCACTGTCTGAAAGGATTATCAAAAACATTCCAGAGCAAAGTGTCTGGCTAAGGGTGCTGCATCAATGACTGCTCAATGTATCTGTAAGCCCAGTCAGGGTGCTACATTATGTAAATGAAGGCAGACGATATTCAACTTCTCGTTGGTAACAGATGAAATCCAAATAGCAGATCAGAGATGGCACTCTTTTACTGCCAGCAAACATGCAAGACAGAAACGTAAGCAAACACTGAAAATAAGCAGAACATAGAAAGACATAAATTAAATATATAAATAAATATAAGCAAGCCCCCATGATGCTTTCTATGGTTCTATGCAGTATGTGTCTTCATAGCTGAGACCAGAAAACAGACAAAAAGGGGTTTATTTTTAGACCACCATAATTTAGGCTTATAAGTTACATTAATGTATAATAAGTGTGGAAACAGGAACACTGTTATACCAGAAGTTGTAATACTATAAATAAAATTTTAACTATTGACTATATTCTGCAGCATTTTTGTTAGTCTTGTGGAAAGCTGAAAAAGGTTAGACTTGCATTTACTAAATCTGTATTTGAAATCATCATGCTATACAGACAATGTGCTTTTCTAATTAAAATTCCTTCAAAGTGGTGTGAAAAAATAAAGAATAGTTTTAGTACTTCTTTTAAGAAATATTATTAATTACGACACACTAATACATATTCTTTAAATGAAATAAACTTAAATTACATTTTCTATATTGCCATTTTCTGAATGTGCTTAACAGTTGTCAAAATACAACTCTCATGTTTTCATCCTGATGCTTTTTTCCATGTAAGACATATCACACAAGAATTCAAGGTGTCTCATGGAAAACAGGTTTAATAACCTTTGTCCAGAAGACTGTACTCTCCCTTTCTGGATGAGGTCCTGAAGACATTTTCCCTTTTTGCACTGTGTATGATTGAGGCCCAGAATTGCAATTTTTATGCATACTTCATGGAATGTGCAATTTAACTACTTGAAATTGATGAAATGATTTCCACATTTTAAACTAAGCCTATATACGTCTTTGAATTAGATCCAAAGCTGCAGACAGTCTGAGATCATAGAAGTTTTCTTATACGTGAATGTATCTCACAAACATCTTATATGCCAAAAGTTACTTTTGAGAGCTTAGGATTAAAAACACAGTATATAAACGCCAGCAAAAAAAATTAACAAGAAATTGATTTTAATGAATACTCTTCTTACTATTACATGTGCCACAGAGGAACAATGGAACAGCTGCATTTCTGAAAATCAGCTCAGTTTCTTCTCCTAGGTTGCAAAGCTACATCCAGTCCCTCCATAAAACAACATACAAAGAAATACATCACTTATATAGGTGATAGCTTCTTACTGTATAGAATTTCAGAACTGCTAAAGCAACTGAGCCTTTGGAAGTCACTTCGAAACAAGCACATGAATAAGATAAGGTCAGGGATCTAGAAAAGAACAAATTTGGCAATGATATTTCAGTCAGTTGCAGAAACCACACTGCACACTGATTTATGGATGAATGAGGTAGAAGATGGTATATTCTGGTTTTGCAACTCTGAGTCAACACTGGCTCAACCAGAAGAAATGATAAGCAGAGCTGAGGCTGCACTGGAAGGAAGCACGTGCAGACAGGAAAATTTATTCACTATCCATAGTCTACTGCAAGTCTCCAGTAATGTATACTTATTTTTAGTATAAGAAGCACCAAAGCATTCTGTAAAACTAAGCTACATTCTAGAGGAATTATGCAGGTTGCTAATGTTTATTTAATACTACAGAACAGATATAACCATTAATAATTTTTTCAATGTACTTCTTATATCTACATACTTATGGATATTATTGCGTTAATCTCATAATACAAGGATATTTGAGATGGGTCTTAAAATGAAAGGTTACAAGAACCTGAAAACTGAAATTCAGGTAGAAATTACTGCTGTTTATTTTGATCCTAAAGTTATTTAAAACTTGTAGATTCTGTGAAATAAATAAACAGTTTTATTTCATACCATTTCAGTGCACAGCTCTCTTCTCAAAATTGTGAATCAACAAGTACGCCAGCATTGGAGTGAAAAATTGTACCTTTTTTTTTCTAAGCATTTCAACAGCAAAACAGATAAAAAACAATCCCAAAATTATAACCAAATGTGGCAAAATTTAAGCATTATTCTTTTACCAATGAATGAGTTCATTAACATTAATGAAGGTTAGGAGCATTTTTAATTCCAGTAATTACATACTGTCTATCTGAACTGCCACTGTACTTCTAATTTCATTTGTAGCAAAGACCCTGACCCTTTGAAGGAAGTCAAAGGGTAACATTATCATTAGATTGCCCTGGCATACAAGTTATATTCTGTTTTAAAACAGCAGTCCGGTCCTCTCTCTTCTACATGCATAAAAATCTCAATAACACAAAAAAATATCTTAATAGCAACTACCTCTCATTATGCACAGTGAAAAGGCAATAGTCTAGGGAAAAGCACAGTTGTGTGATGATTCAACATTTATGCTGCAGCAGTACCACCAGAGATGGATGAATTAAGAGCTCAGTGTACCAGCTTCAGAGAACTCAGCTTAGTTCAGTGGAACTGGACTACTTTGCAAAAAGTAAAATAACACCATATAAGGCCTTGAGATCATAAGGCCATCATCATAACTATGACTGATAGAAAAGAAATACTCTAACTAGTCTAGCTGAAGCTCTGAGGTAGGGGGTCGAGGCCTGAACAGTATGACTTTTATGGATGCAACTAACAAAGGTACATCAAAAGAGACAGAAAAAGAATTCAGTATATTCACATTCAGTGTGTTTGTCCATAGTACTTACTAAAGTTCACAATGAGGTGTTTGGCAGCAGGATAAAGCAGCACAACTTTTTGTTAATGAATCCACAGGTCCGTGATGTGGCAGTACTTGGTAAACTACGAAAGCTGCATTTGAAGCAAATACTGGACTCTCATGAAGTGAAACATGCTGGTCAGTAAACAAAATTCTTCTAGCAAAGCTCTCCCGCAGAAATGCATTGTCTCTTCTCAGCAGTCAAACCCAGCTAATCTAACATCACAAGCTATGCTGACCACATCCCACAGAGCCTTTGTCCACTGAAGAAGGAAGGGTGGCTGAAAAAAGGAGCATGCAAGAAAATCCCAACTAAAATCACAGTATCACCTGCTTTCTGTAAGCCTGGGAATTCAAGTAAAGAGAATTCAAGCAGAACTCTGCAATTTGATATGAAGTCTGTTTTTCAAGGAAAAGGTGGTATCAAACTTCTCTCAATATTTGGCTTTAAACAATATTCCTTTATCTCAGGATTTTCTAGATACTAGTTTCAAGACAAACCAGTACAACTATATTTTTAAGCAATAGTCGTCTACCTAACTGTGGTATCACTGACAAATCCCAGCTTCACTGGGCTTTTTACTGTCCAACCCCATAAAAAAAAAATAGTCAGTCCCTGTCCTAAAAGTCACTTGATTTTCTTTCTGTTTTATGACTCCCTTCCACTGCCTTACCTCTATAAACCTTGTTAGCTACGAAGAGTATTATAAATGCTCCTTTCTTCTTTCCCACTTTCAAAAACTAGCTTCTATCAGTCTTCATAAACCATCAGTCCATCAGTCAAATAACTTCCTTTATCAGCAAAATCTAGACCTTCAAGATAGCCACATACTCCAGTTAGAATCTGACGGTCACACATTCACTAGGAACCTCTTGTCGCACAGTGCAAATTTTATTGTTATGCATTCTGCTCAAGGAAAGAAGTGTTCACATATTTGAAAGCGTTTCAATAGCAATAATTCTTTCAAACAAAATGTGCTAAATATAAGATAACAATTTCTTACATGGCAGCTTTTGGTGTGAAATGTGCATATATATGCGTGGTAATGAATACATGCTAGATGATATGAGATACAGAAGTTAAGAACTACATGAATTTTACATACTTAAATATGAACTAAGCCCTTAAAAATAAACACAGGTGTAGCAAAAAAACCTCACCATGTTGCAAAGATAAACTTTTTTCATTTATAAAATGAAAGATAACAAAAGCCATGGTAATGTCATAACAAGATATGAAATAAATGTGAAAAAATCATCAAGAAACAGTGAAGATTACAGCAGTTATTGCTCCTTGTGACTGGAGCTATCATGCATAATAAGAAAGTCCTTCATAGACAGATAAACCTTCCTTCTCTACAAGAAAAAAGCAATTATGGAAATTAATGAAAGTGGTTAGTTCACAGTTTTCAAGGACTTCACAATCACCTCCCTCTGATGCAGATGAAGCTGCAGAATGTATCAGAGTGATCTGGTTTGTACTCATCTGGTTCAAGGTGAGATTTCTAAAAGATTAAATGTTATGTGAGCGCTCCTTATCTGATCAATATTATTTGAATCTAGAGCAGTCTAGATAACAATCTAGTCCATGTATGTTTTGGGCAAATTGAGTAGGATGGCAAAATACAGTTAAGCAACAAAAAAATCTAGATAGATTTTTAACTGTGACATAGGCCAATCTGTCAAAACAGTTTTGCAAGCAGGATGTACCATACCTGTAGCTAACTGAACATATGAAACCAAAACATAAAATTCACATCAATACCAAAATACATACTATCTTATATCACCGCAGTGGTATCAGCCTACTGTGCAATAAAAGGAAACAGCACACCAGCAGCTTCATTGCACATATTTATCAAAACTTTTTCCCACATAATTGTATGCATATGGCAGATACACAGATATGTGAAGATCACTGTTATTGCAGCTATCAACAACAAAACCTAAAATCTAGTAGAAGAATACCTTCAGCATAAGGCTAACCTTCAACTGCTCCCACCACCATCCACTAAATTCTGAGAAAGTTACAGAGGTGCTGAAAATTGCTAATCTCTGTTACCACTGTGATGGGCACAGCTTGTTGCTGCTGGGCTGCGAGAACCTGGGAACATTTTGTTAGGATTCTATATGCAGGATCCTAATTTCTCAGATTAGCATGTTATAGGAAGAACAGAGTTACCTGCTTCTTCAACGTGAAAGAACCTCTTGAAATTAGAATACTAAGTACATGCACATTACTACTGATGCTGTTCCCTTTCCTACTCTCCCCAGGCTCCCATTCATCCCTACCACAGAAGAGACAGGTATTCAAGATAGAGAAGCCAGAAATTAGATAAAGGTCTACCAGGAAAGACTAAAGTCTATTCTACTACATTGCACTGGTCTTCAAGGTTTTAAAAAATAAATAAAAATACTACTACTACTAAAAAAAATAATTCCCATATTCGAAAAGTTTCAACTATTAACACATGATGTGAATTTTTCAGTCTTACAAGCGTTGTACCAGAGCTTAACACAGCTTCAGAGCTTCTCAACCTCTGGCCTGCTTGTGTTAGCTGTGTCTCCTGACACTCAATATTAGTGACACTGAGAGCACCAGTACCACGTGCAACTTGCACTCATTTAATGTGAAAATTA